CATATACATACATACATATATACATATACATACATATATATATATATATGTATATATATAATATGTATATACTGTATGTATGTATATATATATATATATATTTAAAAAAGAGAAAAACTATTAAAATGACGAACACAACAAAATAACCAACTTCGACTACAATTAAAACTAAAAAGATAAAAATAAAAACTGATTCGAAATATTTTATATTAGTTTAACTTAATGTACAAATATAGCTAAAAAAAACTATTAACATTTAAAAAATTAAAATATTATAAATGACAGAAAAGACAATATTACTAAAACTAACTACAATTACAATAAAATGGAAATTCAAATGCAAAATAATAAAACTAAAATATAAAAATAAAAACTGATTAGAAATATTTGTTAGTTTAACTTGAGACACTAAAATAACTAAAATTGAAGTAAAAATGAATAAAAAGTATATGAAAATAAAAAAAAAACTATTAAAAATGACAAAAGCACAACAAAATCACTTAAACTAGAACTAAAATTAAAATAAAAAATTGTCTAAAATATTATATATAATATTAAAATATTAAAATAGGAACTGATTCATAATATAAATAAAAACTATAATGGTATCTCTGATACGAAAATAACAACGCATTATACAAGATTCAACCAGATGAGATTTTAAAACATTAGTTGAAATGACTTGTACAGCCAATCTGATGATACTTAAAGATGTTTTTAAGTTGAAGGAGGTTGAAATATTTTACAGTGCACATGATTTTATATTTTCTTAAAAAGGTAGGGAAAAAAATGTCAAGCAAAAATAATAACAGACGTCGTCTCAGCAATCAGTCATGTCTGTCTGGGACAAATTATGAGGCGAGGTTTAATATTTTAATATGCCCAATAGCAATAGTGATGGTTTCTGTAGCCAGCAGCACTAATAATTATCCTAAGCTGTGACTGTCTCCTTACATTTAGCCCGATATGTTGGTTTTATTGTCTTTGGAGATCACATGCGTTTAGTCTTGCAGAAATGACAACTTCGTTTAACAATCGTTTGGTTTGTGCTGATGTGGGTGGGCTTTTTGAAGACCGCCAGTGGTCATACATTGTGTTCATACCAAATAAACATGTCCAGGACCTATCTGGACTCGGCCAGCTGGTTTCTGTTCACGCAGTGCAAACATGGCCAGAAATGGTGCTTTCAAAAGCCTTACGCAACAATCTGTGAGCTCCAGCCAAAAGAAACCTTCACTGCTCATAGCGTGATATCCGAGAAACGGTCAGCAATCTCCCGATGATGTTTCTGAAGTGTTTCTGTAAGTCGAGACATAAGTAATCGCTATTTTCTTCAAAAACAAAAGTCACAGAGGAACTTCACTTTCCTCGGCGTGAAATAATAGACAGCGACTGTAACTTCGCACATGTGCTGCTTTAAAACCTATTTGCTTAATATTGTGTTTCCAGAGCGCACTCCGAAAGCTAAGCAAGCGTAAAATGGGCCTTAAGTGTCTCAACATGTGTTCATGTTTCAAGCATTAACAATAAAATCCAAAGGATCCAGCCTGAATAGTTCAGAAATTGGTCATTTTGTAGAATTGCCATTTGTTTTGAGCAGGTTTCTTTAGTAATATTTATTAGAGGTAGGAATATTCTCTTCCACTAGCTTCAAATCTTTATTTATTATATTTTATTTATTGCATTTTATTATGTAGTGTTTATTGCATTTATTGATATTCACTATTTTAGTTAGTTAGATATATATGATATGATATGTGACCCTGGAGCACAAAAGCAGTCTTAAGTCGCTGGGGTATATTTGTAGCAATAGCCAACAATATATTGTATGGATCAAAATGATTGATTTTTCTTTTATG